GAATAGTTCATCACTCGCTCCGCTATCCTTATACGCACCATTCTCTACTCAACTTTAAGAACCCATCTGACCTCTTTTGAACAGTTCACAACCTCACATAAATTTCGACAACGTTATTGGACTCGATCGTTTCTTGGATATCCCACAATCCTAAAAGCCAAACCGAATTCATCACACATAGCCATATCGACGTTAGAATCCGATGGCTATGTTGATCAACTAATCACACAGAACGTTGATGGATTGCACCAATTGGCCGGGTCCTCAAATATACTCGAGTTACATGGTACCCTGCACGAGATCCAATGTTTAAGTTGTGGTCATACTCAACTTAGATCCGAGTTTCAGAGAATATTGAGCGAATTGAATCCCGAGTGGAAGAAATTTCTGGATCAGATTGAGTTGGAAAATGACATCGAGTCAAAGGTAAACTCCGATGGAGATTATGAATTAGATGGTGGTGAAAGGGGATCATCCAGGGCGAGGTCGGACGTGGTGAACTTATCGCCCCGAGTGAATCCCGACGGGGACATTGATCTACCCGTTAATGATTCATACTCTACATTCCAATACCCCTCATGCACTCAATGTATCAGTGGAATTTACAAGCCATCGGTAGTGTTCTTCGGTGAAAACATCGAACCAATGGTCAAACATAAATCATTCGAGATGGTGGCAAATTGTGAATCCCTGATAATCGTTGGGTCAACTCTCACCACTCACTCAGCATATCGATTGGTCAAATCAGCCAAGGAGTTGCGTAAGAAGGTGGTGATACTGAACCTTGGTGACACAAGAGGTGATTCTCTGGCAGATGTGAAAATTGACTTGAGGTGCGGCGACGTATTAACAGGTGTTATTAAAAGATTGAACGATAATATTAACAATGATGGGTGTTAATATGAATTGCCGAGCTCATTTTGTAAAATAATGTAATAGTGTAAAATCTTATTTTTATTTTACAGGTCGTTACATCTCAGATATGTACAGTACAATAAATAAATAAATAAATAAAACATCACCTATATATTACTAGACGTCTAAGGGGAAATTATATTAATTTTTTTTTTTTTATTTATTTACATTTTTTATTGCTTGGATTCTAGACAAGGAAAAAAAAAAAGAAATCAATTTAAAACCAACTGTTCTCCGTCAGAGTATTATATATCTATATACAAGGGGATGTGGGTGATAATAAGTGGACGGAGTGGAATAAAGTAACACGAGGTAATCCCCTCACCCAGACAAAAAACTTGAGCGTAAATTCAGAGAAAATAAAATTGGAATGATAGAAAGATAATCGTACTAGAATGATTCGATGAAAAAAGTTCGGTATGAACGGAAGAAAATTTGTATGTTCGTCTTTAGAAAAATCAATGAAAAGGGAGAAAGCATAAGAATGTAGTTTTTAAAATGGTTGATGTATCAAATAAAGAAAACGAATCGTAAACAAATGTTTAATTGGAAAACGGTGGGGTCAGAGAAGGTGCATAGTATTTAAAGATTTTTTGAAATAAAAGTAAAGCGTAGATTGATAATAATTGGCGTTTGAAAGGTCGAATGGAATGATGAATCATATGTTAATTGTCCTTAAAAATGTCAATGTTGGTAACGTGGTGTAAGAAATGTATATGTATATGTTTTTGAGGGAGATGCGCGTAATTCCCTTTGATACGGGGTTCGTAAAATCTTGGTGATGTATATATATATATATATATATATAGTATATATTTTGTACATATGTTTTGATTTTTTTGGTTCTATTTAATTCTAATTGTAGGGGTTTGTTTTTTTTAAAAAGAAAAAGGATAAATGCGTCTATTTGCATATAATTAATGCATATTATGCACGTGATTGGAACAATGCGAATATGCTTTTTTTTTTTTTGAGACAAAAATCTATCCCATGGAAATGTAATAGTTCTCGTAAAAAAATGTTCAAAATGAAATTAATTCATTGCTAGCACCAATCCAGCGCGACTGCATGGTATAGGCGCCATTGACATTCGACGTCTCATGGGTTGTTGTTGTTGTGGTAGTGGTGGTGGTGGGATATATGGTTCTTCTTCGTCTTCTCTATCATCGTCATCATCATCATCGTCGTCGTCATCGTCATTGTCTGCGTCCGCGCCATCATCCGATTCTGATTGGACAAAAAAAAAAATAATGAACAAATTGTAAAATCGCAAAACTCGTTTTCAACATCATCTTTCATCTTAAAATATATGCTCACCATCTGATTCAGGAGGAGGAGGACAATTTGTATCATACTCTGGTGACAGTAAAGAAAAGACAGGCGTCAGTCTATCATCACGAAAATCCTTTTTAAGGCTTGCTACGACTTATCCATGGAAATATATTTACCTTCATAGGTAATCTCGTCTTCTGCTTGCAAGATTTCACCCACTATCAACAACGATAGATAACAATTTTTTTAATGTGGATGTCATGTGACATGAATGTGATCAACTAATTACTTACCATTGGAATACAAAGTGTTCGTGACCGGTTCAACTTTAGCCGAATTTCGCGGTTCGGGTAAATTCGGAAACAATAGAAATTTGCTAGTGTAGAAAGCGAATGGATGTATATCCAGAGGGACTTTGTGATCTTGATCAATTACTTCGCTCGCCAATGTTCGATCGAGTTCGTCTATGTTATCTCTGTTGCCCTCATCAATACCAAGGAGTTGACACTGGTACGCATAGGGTGACAACAGTATGTCTACTATCTCCTCAGCATCAGGTCTCTTCGATGGATCGGCATCCCAACATTGTGTCATCAACTTTTCATAGAACAAGGGGGTTCCCGGAACGATGCTCTCTCTAAATCCGTGACAAATTTCTAGTGCCAAGGAGTGATCGTGCGGTCGGTCCGAGAATGGCGGTCGTCCCGAAGACAACTCCCACATTATAAATGCGAAACTGTAGATATCAGCCTTTACACTGAATGGACCGCCGGCCAACACTTCGGGTGCCACGAACGGTAGTGAACCATAGACGCCTCGTGGTTCAGACGAATTGCTTGGTCCACAAAGTCCTAAATCCGCTATGTTACAGTTAAAGAACTTCATCACATTACCACAGTGAAGATTCTTGTGATATGTTTTATTCTTGTGAATATTAAGGAGTCCCATAGCGACATC